GCAGCTCTGGAAAAGCTGGGCAACTCCAGCCCCTGCACTGAGCCGGCTCCCTGCTTATCTCGGTAACATCCCAAGGGTGGGATGGTCGCTTGTTAGAATCACCATGTGGATGAAGGGCAGGTACCCTGGGCTTAAAGTCAAGGGCCCTGATTTCCAACCCTGCCATCAGCTGTGTGGCCTCAGTGACATGTCCTTTGTCCTCTCCTATAGCCTTTTCCATAAGACAAGGACCTAGGCCAAGCTCCAAGTGAGGAATAGCAGCAAACACGCACTGTGCACTCCATATTGTTGTGGGCGCCTGAGCATGCAACCTCCCCTCATTCTCACTGTGACCCTGGGCGGGAGGAGGGGGGGCTACATTATCACTCCCATTTTACAGAGGGGAAAACTGAGGCACAGAAAGCGAAGAAGCTTGCCCAAGGTAACAGAGCTAGCACGTGGTAGCCAGAATTTAACCCTAGGCAGGCTGGCCTTGGAGTCCATGCTCTTAGCCAGAAAGATCCAAACCCAACAGCAAAAGAGTGACAGGAGCGGGAACTCCAAATTGTACGCTTTCATTTGTTTTGCAAGCTTTCACCGGGCACCCCCACCTGCCAGACAAGGTGCTACTGGGAGACGGTGGCTTGGGGTGAGGAGGATGCATCTTCCCCACACCGTTCCTGCTCCCCAATCTCCCTACCTTATCTTGCTGCACTGACGAGGGGAGGGATGGCACGGCGTGCTTACCTGACCCCAATGGTGAACATGCTGAGAAGGTGCTTCCCTTGTAGCCAGCCAGTGAGCATGATTATACCTGGGGAAGAGACCAAAAAAAGAAAAAAAGTTTGTACACACGCACACGTCCACTCTCCAACATGTGAAGGCATTTAAAAATCATTTTCTTAAAGAGTGTACAGGAATATAGACACAGGGCAATGATTAATAACCTCAAGGACCACTCTTTGCTTTTTAAAGAAGATACCTTCATCCTACAAAAAAGGATGGCTTTACTTTTACCAGATGTTCTGGGAATAGGGGATAAGTTCTGGGGCCACTAGAGATGGCATCAGGTTGCTCATCTGTGACGTGGGCACAATGACCACGCCTTCCTCAAGGAGTTGTTTCAGGATTTAAGATGTGACAACCTATCTGAAGTGCTTAGCACAGCTCCTGGCCCACAGTAAATGCCCAGGTGCCACTGTTATAAGAATTGGTAAGAAGAGAAGGAGGAAGGTGAGTGGAG